CATGGGGAGAATCGCAGCACGTCGGCGCACGTAGGACTAAACGTCGAAGATCGAAATCGCGCGTAGAAATTACGGCAATTTCCCGTTCTCATCGGAACTCGAAAGTGTCGGTCGTGTCGGTCCCGCGATCGATCTTCCTTCCTGAATATAGCGTCACCCTGAATATAGAAATAAGCGACGCCCTGAACGTGGCGTCGTAACTGAAACTTTGTCGCGGCCACGCCGCACGATCCGAGATCGAGCGTCGTCGTGAAGTCGCACCTGTCGCCCGTAATTTCTCTCTCTCTCTCTCTCTCTCTCTCTCTCTCTTTCTTTCTATGTCTATCTCTTCTTTTCCGGATGACGGCGGCGAGTTTCTCGGAGACCGGCCTTCGCAACGCATTTCTTCTTTTTACCTCGTCGTAGCTATCTAAATATCTGCGATTACCGATTTTTAGTTGAAAACGCCCGCTCACGCGCGCGCGTGTACAGCCGGCCGGCTTCGTGAAGAGGCGTGTTGAATTATTCACCGCAGCGCGCGACACAAGACACAACTTGCGTTACTTGCGTAGACCACCTCCGTAACCGCCTTCGTAAAGATTTCAAGTCCTCGGCGGAAGGACTGGCCGTAATGGGGTGGTACACGACAGCGGAATACTGTATTGTTATTCGCGTGGTGAGAGATAAATAGGTATATACACGGCTTTATTTATCACACACTCTAGAAAGAGTCTCTTCTCGAGCGCTGAGATATTTAACATTACAATAAGCATAAAGACGTATAACAATAAAAAGAAATGTTTAAAAAAAGAAAATAATAAAAGGAAAGAAATGTTATATGTAAATATAACTGCAGAAAAAATACGCAAGAAAAATAATACAATAGCAGAAATGTGCAACACGAATACAAAACTAGAAACATACTAGAAAATTAATGTAAAAATAATAGAGATAGAGAGTTATAGACAGATGGATAGCTCAATTTATTACGCGCTTACATAGGAAGATATCCTCTCGAGAATCGTAAAATTCAATCATACAAATGTTACTACAATGAATGTAGAGTACATTTTTACATTGAGTTGAAAAAAAAAGAAATGTATGTGTGTAATATAAAAAATATATTTAGGTAAAGAAAAAAAATGTGCTGGCATATGTATATAGAATATATTTAAGAACGATTTAAGAAAGAGGTTGCTAATTACGAGAGTTGATTATATAATATTAAACAGGTAGACGTAAGATTTGTTTTGAATGAACTCAGAGGTTTCATTTCGCAAGTCATTTGATAGACTGTTCCAAAATTCAGTTGCATAATATCAAGGGAGATAAATAATAGAGAGGAGAGAGAGAGAGAGAATCGCTATTTATTAAGCGCCCTGAGATAATTTCCCTTGAAGCGCAAGAACCTCATGAATACGTATTATTATATAGATTATAACAGCTCACTGCAATATAGCGAAACAGTGCAGCTGAAAGTGCCAAGTACATGAAATTGAGAGATACAGCGACGGAAAAAACTGCTCAATAAAATAAATAAGCGAACGCAAAATAAACAAAAAACAATATATACAAATAAACAAAGGAGGTCATATATTCAGTCAAAATAGATGCTAGTGTCTAATAATATTTCATACGAATATTACAATTTACAGTTCAAGCATAAAAAAAAATATATATATATATATAATTCCGCGAGGTATTTATATGACTCGTAAAACCTCGTAAAAATTCGGTAAAAACGAACCGCAACGGCCTATCTCTGACAGTGACGGCAATGTCGATAACGCAAATTCACAAATCGGGTATAAATACAGTTTGGCCTCGGATTACGAGGCGATATTTCTTTGTCGGCGACCACGGACGCGCTAAAATAATCCCTACGCCGAATTGGGAGACGGGAGGCACGGGTTATATTCCTGCTTTGCGTTTCACCGCTGAAAAGCAAATCCAAGCGAGATCTCGCGTTATTGCGACCGGGCGTGCGCACCGATAATACGGTTAATCAACGACGGTAAGACGATAATCTCGTCGATTCTTCAAAGCGAATGCCTTATCAGCGAGCACGTTTTCTGTTACATACATATACCTACGAGATGCAGAACGCAATGCAGAACTTTTGGAGAATATATAATCTATATTCGCGAGCAATACGAAGTAGAGCACACTGCGAGGACGAGAGAGAGAGAGAGAGAGAGAGAGAGAGAGAGAGAGAGAGAGAGAGAGAGAGACAGAGAGAGAGAGAGACAGAGAGGGGGGAGAGGAAGAGACAGAGAGAGAAGAGAGTGAGAGAGACAGAGACGGAAAGACGCGAGTGCGAAAGAGAGAACTTCTCGCGTGTTCTCCCCTTATCTTCGTAGATGTCTATAGACGGAAAGCAATTAAGCTACAATGTCATTTTATCAATAAACAGCCATTTATTGCTTCTGAACTCTCAGGATGTAATCATTCCAATCTGCCGCGCGATTACGCGTTATCTGACACCACTGTCAAATTGCCGTACTGACACACATACCGGGAAAGTGCAAATAGATATAGGCAAAGCGACACAGCGGCGGAGGGGTGAGAGAAAGGAGAGAAACGAACACTGCAAGAGCGACTGGTAGGCTAGAGAAAGAAAGAGAGAGAGAGAGAGAGAGAGAGAGAGAGAGGGGCGAGGAGGAGAAGGTGGGGAAGGAAGGCAAAATAGGAGAAAGGCAAAAGGAGTGTGGGGAAAGGGATGCGGAGGACAAGGGCGACGACGATTATGACGATGACGACGGTACGGTCGGGTACGATAAATTTTCACGCTTTACACCGTAAATTCCTCGAGAAAATAGGAATCTGCACTTGGAAGCCAAGTCGAGCCTAGATTAACGTGAAATAGATCCAAATCAATACTTTGAAGAAGGAGAGAAGAGATAGATGGAGAAAAGGAGAACGAAAAAATTATATATTCTCTTCGTTCTCGTTTTCTCTCTCTTTTTCATTCACTCTCTCTCTCTCTCTCTCTCTCTCTCTCTCTCTCTTCCTCTCTTTCTAACTGACTCGCTTCGAGCAGATTCAATTTATGTCGTCGTCCGACGAGAGCGATAGGTCTTCCACGGCACGGTTTTCTGCACTAAAAGGTCCTCATTCTATTAAAAATATAAAAAAATAAAAAATAAGAAAGAGGAAGACAATCGATAAGGGTGAGACGCCATGGCGAGAGGAGAGGATCGGTTTGTATTACGCAATAAATTTAAAGGAGAATTATTAGGCGCGAAATCTCCTACATTACATATATGAGACCGAATCGCTGCGCTTTCATCGTCCTCGATTTCGCAACAACGCAATTCAAAGAGCCCTGCAACGAAAACGAATAGAGGATTGAGTAAAGTCTATTCTATAATTGCGGAAGCGTAGTCGCAATGGAAGTTATAGTTGTAAGAATTCACTAATCACAGCCGAATATGATAAGAATATTCGACTATGATTGGTTAATTCTTACAACTACAATCACTAGCAATTACGTTTACGCAATTGTAAATATACTTAATTCATTTCTATGTATAGAGTGGTGGACAAAGTACATTTAGTTTATACAAGTGATTTATTTTAATCTTAACGAATATTTCGAAAATTTGTAAGCTTTACAAAGAAATATTTTTTTAAACGGTATTAAGGAGAACGTCATAATATTGACCATCTTCTTTTTATATCATACAATTTTTATTTGAAATTTTTTTTGAAGTCTTTTATAAAAAATTGCATATTTTTAATTATTTGCTCGTTAAGATCAAAATTAATAGTCTCCATGTATAATTTTTTTTTTAACTCAATTTAGCACAAAATTATCGAATTAATGACTAAAGTTTGAAAATTAAAGTGCCGGTATAACATTTCGCTCGCCACCCTGTAGATTCAGTTTAATCTCGGTTTAACTTACTTTTTATCCATTTCCAGTTTTAAAAATTCTAAGAATTATATATAAAAAGTAAATTAAAATCGAGATTGAAGTTAATCCACATTGGTAGAAATGAACGCAAGTTGGCGACGCCGATCGTCATCGGTCGATAACGAAGTGCGACGAAGCGCAGCGATCCGAAAGAGCACGTAAGAAGCACGAGAAAAGAAATCGTAGAAAAGAGCGATCGAGAGACGAAAGAACGGAAAGAACGGAAAGAAAGCCATCGATGATTCGAGGATACAGGGAAAAGAGGGTGGGTAGCGGGATCGGCAACGGAATTCAGGAGAGCGGGCTGCAACGCGACAGCCGTCGTCGATTGGGGGAGGCGAAAGCGCGGCGTAGAGTATCATGAAAGAAGGGAGTTGAGAAAGAGCGGAAAGGGGGAAGGCAGGCAAGAACCAGCAATAGCAGCAGCAGCAGGCAGGCAGGCGAGAGGGAGACCGGTCGCGTATATCCGAAAAACGGCGATCCGTCGTATTCGCAACGGTTCTTCTCTCGCAGCGCAGGCAAGAGAGAAGCCTAAGCCCGGCTTTGACCCGGTAGCCGGCGCGACACGGCACAGTCCGCGCGGCTGCCTGACGCATTGCAGGTGCGCGCCGGCCAATCACAGACCCGGTTAGTTCGCCCGGACTCGTCCTGTAAACACGACCGCACCCACCCCGCCGTGTAAAACGGATTTGTTATACGGGGCGGTCGCGGGTACGCCGTGCCGGCCCGCGGCCA